AAGAGCTAGATATATCAAAGAAAGCCTCATTTCTGATAGAGTTAATAAAAACCTTCGCTAAATGTTTAGTGAACCTTTTTTATCTAAAAGAACAGAAGAACAGTTTTAATCTTAATTTTCAAGATCGAGTTTCACAGATCTTTATGGAAAATATGGGATAAATATGATTTGAGACATAGTTTGTTTGATTTTCAAAATCAAGCTTAAGGAATAAACTCATACGCAATCTATTGAATTTCGGACTACCTAGCTCTTTCTTGACCTCATTTGTATAAAAAGTTAAATTGTTTACTCTATTCATTAATTTTAACTGCCCTAAAACATATCCGAGTTGGTGAAAATTACTTAAATTTTAAAACTTTATCCAACTCATGATCGTAGTTCCCTTTTTTGTGATAGTATGCAGGTATAAGTCGCCATTACGCGGCAGCTAATTTGAGTGAAAATAAGTTTGGCATTCGCAAAGTTAATAAAGGTATCGAAAGCACCAATTGCAAAAGTCGTGAGCCCCAACACGCTAGCTAATTCCTCCTCCCCTTGGAGGAGTACATAGCTGTAAGCTTGTGCATGTACATGCGGATCAGTACATGCACACATGCACACATGCCTACATACACAGGTGTGTGTGTGTGTTGGTTGTCCCTTCGCCTCTGGTACAGAGGCTCGAAACGGGTGCTCAGGTGCATTATCCAATTGCAGCGCTGCCGCGCCGACCCAAGCCGGGGTTCGACCCTCCTCCACTTAGGCAGGCGGCTTCATTGCAGCGGCACGATTTATGACTGCGGCTGCTCATTTGTGGCCGCGGCCGTGGCGCGGCAAGCGAACGATCGATGATCAGGCCGCCATTTTTTGTTACGATTCGGATTCGCGATACCAGATCCCTGCTCGCCTTACCAAACAATATTGATTTTCAGTCTCTGCTGCCGTACCGCATAAATCGTGATGCACACTGGGCCGCAGTCTGCGAAAGGCATGTTGCATGTTGCATGCGCATGTACGAATTCTACATACACTCACACACTAGCCAATGCTCTATACTCTGTTATGGCACAGATCCTAATGGCAGACAGAATTTGAGTCTGGCACCAGTGTGCAACTTGGCAGCTTCAGCTCCAGCTCTAGCGAGCCGAAGCACCCAATTTAGGATGAGGCCAAAATGCTGCAGCCTCGGGTGCAACTCGTGAACGCCGCAGGATGTTCATGACTGCCGCCGTGGCTGCTGTCGTTCGTGGCAGTGATTGCAAATGATTCTTTATCTGGTTGCAGTGCGGCACAAATGCGCGTAACTGCAGCACAAATACACACACTTACACCAACACAGACACACATTCACACATTCACAGAGACACACATCGCACACACACACAGATACACATGCACGCAAGCTTATGTCTCATATAATTATTCCTTTGCTGTGCGAACATTTAAGTAGGTTAAAGGTTTTTTCAAACCTTTGACGTGAATTGATAAACGAAAATCTCCGAAACGCAAACATCGCATGTTAGACCAAACGAGTCCATATGCACTTGGAAAGACTGCTCGACTAGCTGATACCCTCTGCCCAGTTCTAAAAGCTTATCTGAATTCCGAAGTCAATGAACTTGACTAGCAGATAGCTCCCAATTAGAAAAACTGAAGCATATACCCATATTTAAGGGATTTTCTCAATAACGATCGGACGATAAACAGGGACATCATTTTTGATTGAAAGAAAGAAAGAAAAGGCATAGCTTTTGGACATATAAGAGAAATTAGAGGGTATTTACAAGCCATGCAGTCTAGACGTACATGACGACTCGTACATGTTTTAGTTCAAAGCGTGAACATTAACGGATATTCCTCGATTTTTCTGTTTCGAAAATGTAAAGAAGGTTTGTAGTAGATCGAATGAAAAACCTAAATTGGGAAACAAAGTTTTCCACTTAAGTTCCACTTCAATAAATCGTTTAAACAATTCCTCATTCGTGTATAATAAAGAGCTGAGTTTATAACCTGTACAAAAAATCATAAATGAATTCTTACATAGATGTTAGGAAATAAATGGCACGAAGCTAAAATTATTTCTGTGCTGACCTTATGTGATGCTAATACAGGGCTTTGAAAATTCCACCCGCAAGTGTGGAATATTTGTGAAAATCCGTCGCATTGATTGGCTCCAAACTCATTTTCAAAAATTTTTTTTTTGTCGATCTTCTACTCCACCCCTCTTTAATGACAAAAAAGGATCAAAGTTTTAGTTGTAAGCTTTTTTGTAAAGATCTTTATAGAAATTCATTTAAGACAGTTTCACACTTTTCGAAAACTCCACCACATCTCGATTATTTTTTTTCGTTTTCAAAGTAATTTTTAAAGATCTTTGGGAAAATTCATTTGAAACGTGTTCCAAACTCTTGAAAGAACGTTGTTTTCGGCTAAAAGCTTTACATGACACGGCTTCAAACATATTTCTATTTATCAATGTAAAATATGACGTGAAACTTAGTATGATAAACTTAAATTTTCACAGCTGGAATATCAGTTTAAGATCGATATCAAAAATGTCCGGTTAAGATCGGGAAACATCATAAATTAATGAATAACTTGTAGTAAATGTGTAATTCAAATAAGATCAAATATCAAATGTTTAGGACGTGGGCGAATTTTTCGAAAATGTACGGAAAACTTCCGTTTTTTTGTTATGATTAAAACATTTAATGAAAAAATAGGCTGGATATTATATAAAGCTAGAGAACTATTTAAATGTTTGAATAATTTGTAGCTGTTTACTGTCCCCAGTTTTTTGAATTCTCGTTACATTGGGGAGGTTTTTTAATAAAACGGGATGACTATAACGTTCTGATCAATGTTTGAGAGGTTTTCCTGAAGAACTATGTGTATAATACTATCGTATGTACCTAGAAGAGAAGTACATGGATATGTATGCAACTACAGTTAAGGCTGAAAGTATATATACATTATGTACGTGGGATTAATTTAATACATCATTTACTATATAAATAAATATGTTTATATGTATGTGTGTGTATGTATGTATGTATATATTTCCCTGCATCATTTTTGACATAATCACTCTGTGATGCTGTGTAAAATAAAGCCCAGGGCGAATATGGTAGGGCACTCACCACTGGCAAAACACATTGCCAAGCGTCCAATGCCGAGTTTTTCCCAGTAGCATAAGTTACACCCCTGAGGCCAAAGTGTGCTGGCAACCCCAGCTTTCCATATTTATGTATATGCGTATGTATGTGTTTTGCAACCACTGTGCTTATGTACAATACACGCAGGCATTAATATAAGCCGTATGTAGGTATGTGTGTATATATGTATGTGTATGCACACATATCCACTTAAGCACGTGTGTGTGTGTGTGTGAGTGTGCGTGTGTTTGTGTGTAGCTACATCTATGTACATATGTTTGTATATGTATCTATACATATACATACATATATCTGCCAGCGAGTGTGTGTGTGTGTGTGTGTGTGTGTGTGCACATGTGCAGAGGCTGCGCTGCCGACGCAACGGCGATGCCGCTGACGCAGCCTCTGGGTTCGGCCCATTGTCTAGTAGTCAGCTTGAGGGGCGTGGTTTCCGAAAATATAAATGGCTGTAGCTGTGGCTGCGGCTGTAGCTGTATCTGATGCTGTTGCACGTTTCAACGTGAACACGAACACAGCAGCAAACCGAAACGAGCACACGCATACATACGTATCTTATGTGGTATTGGTGGCCGCTAAGATTTTTACAGCCTGCTCTCTCTTATAAATGTTACTCTTCGCTGCAGCAGCGCATGTAACGAATGCTCTTTACATTATAAGACCAATCGGTATAAATGTCTTATATTTATTTTTCTTTTTGAAAAATAGAATTTAGCTTCAAACTATATTATAAGTATTTATAGAATAAAGTCATGTTATCTATATAATTAGCCCATTAAGCTGATTTTTAAAAGTGTGCTGATTTTATAATTTACAATTTAGATTCAATCAGTAACAAATCAAATATAAGATCTAAGGATATCTGGTATTTTACTCGAACTATTCTCACTTCTTTTAAGTCAACACTAAGTATAGTTTGAACCGAATATAGTCACGGTTATTTTCTGGCTCAAACCCACATTAAGCATGGGCTCTGATTTACCGGACTGACAAAATCTAAGGCGAATCAGCTTAAAGGGGTTTCGGTTCTCAACCGGTTTGCAGCATGCACATTGCTCGTTTCAACACTCTTCTCTTAGCTAAGAGAGTTTTTTGAAAACCTGCTCCGGGGAGGGTCAGCGCCTGAATGTGCCTGTATGCGTGCGAGCGGCAAACGGTCTTGGGCATTTAATAGGTTTTTACGCACATGTACGTAAATGTTATGTGTGTATGCATGCATGTATATGTGCATGGGCATAAAGTGTGCGTGGCAGCTGTGTGCATGTATGCGCGCGGGTAAGTGTGTGTGTGTGTGTGTGTGTGAACACATCTGTATTCGAACGGCAGCATCGCCAGCATCGGAGCACATCCCCTGAAGGTTTTTACGTCCAAACAGAAAATTTAGTTCAGTCGAGAACTACCGTCAGTGGCTGCGCAAAGGCACAAGTTTATTTGCGGGTTTTTTTCGAAAAGCCAAACTGAATATTATGCTGTGTGTTCGACATTTCTTGCGATTGCAAACAGCCCGAGAAATAATTACGCTTTTCGTTCGTATCCACGCATCCACCCACGCATACCCAGTGCACCTGTAATTGCAATCACTTTCACTTCGGATAAGTGACACACACACGCACACGGTGTTAAAATAAATATTTAAATATATACATATATGTATCTGTGCTTCCTTTAAGTGAACATTTATATAAGCATGCACTCATATGACTTATAGTTGCCTTATATTCAGTGCCAAATAAATCTATCGTCTACTGAGCAATTGTACCTGTTTCGTATATACTAAAAAGCGCGAAGTGTTCCAGTTTGTGACAGTTCAAAATATATACTCTATGTAATCGAGATCACAATCGGAACAACAAACAATAATGCATATCTTACACCGGACCAATGACCATCAATTTGAGGATCAAAAATTTATGATGGTAAGATTTCTTGCAAGGATTTCCCCAATTCCCGGACACCCCTATCAACTGGCCGTTCGTCCGTGGTTCCAAGGAAACGTACCCACTGACCAATTACCTGTCAGCTAGAATCAGTGTTCAGCGTATCCGTACAAAGTACTTAAACTCCGATATTGAAAGTCAATGGGGGCTGTGTGATCTCTGATTGACATCAAAATTTCATGCACGCAAGCACTCAGGGTAATTACCATACGGCTACAAGTAAGCCATGTCTGCGATCTGAGCAGATTGATTACCATAGCCAAAGCCCAATTTATAATAATAATGGGCGCACTTAACGCTGGAATTTTGCATCCTCCAAAAGGGCAGGCTTCCATCAACACCAACCGCTTGTGATCAGCTTAAAGCTTTAAGCTTTCTTAAAGCTTTCTTGAAACAAATCTTTTAGAGGCGTACTGCTCTAGAACTACTTTATATAGATCATGCAGTTCCTGCTTTGAATCAATTGAGTACGCGTCGATGAATGAGCTTTAAGCTCATTTGAAACTTCTTTGATCTGCGAAGGATTGTGGTAGGATCTTCCCAGCAGACGAACAGCACAATATCCTGAGATAATTGTGAGAAATACTCATGAGGAATGTGTTACTTCATAATAATCATATTATTTTGTTGTAGTTGTCTGAAAGACTGATCCATTCAATTTTCAGCAAATAGGTATATTTTAAAATGTGCAAGTCAAAGCGATATTTCCCTATTACATATATGTACAAGTATGCCTAATCAGGACTACGAGTTGGATCCTTCTATATGTGAACTAGACTTGAGACTATATTAATGAGAATTCGTAGGATCGGAATGTCGCATATCAAGGAGTTAAAAGCAGTTATATTCCTTGAAATGTATCAAATAATTTCTATACCCTTTCTCTACGAAATGTGTTATGCGTTATATGTGCATATTATACATAAGCTCGAAGAGCTGTATATCCATCAGCCTAAGACTAACAACTTGTCATAGATTTTTCTCATTTTGCTGAAGATAGTCTATAGATTGACGTCGATCAGGTCAGATATCTATATTATATAGCTGCCAAAGAAAAGATTAGAAAAATCTGAGATTTTCTATGCGTTAATAATTTGTGCTTGTCAAAGTATAGAAATATATGGGAAACCCGTTATGTATCTACAGGTGTATATAAGCTTGGCAAACCGAAAATAACTGCAATTTCTGGTTTGCATTTTATGACAGATTTTGATTTTACTTAATGATTTACAATTTATTGAAAAATGTTTCTTTAATGAATTTTCGAATTTTTTTTTGACAAGTTAGATCAGGGCTTAGCTAATGTAAAAAGAAAGTCCGCTTCGCATATTAAAAGGCTTATACAAAACTATCTTTGACCTATCGAAGATATGGTAGAAGGTGCATTCGGGCAGCTTTGAGATACAAAAAGAACTATGTCCAGCTACTTTTTGAGTTAGCATCAACACAGAGAGTTTATATAATATCAAGAATAAATATAACAAATATTTAATGCTGGACTTGGAGACACTTCCAGATACCTTACACATTTACAGACAAAATTAAATTGTTTAATTGTCTCTGCTGCGCATCTATATATCAAATAAATAATAATAAAATCCCGAATTTCAAAATACCAACATAAAATATAAAAGATTTATGCTAGATATTTAGATAATAGGAAAAGTGTTTCTCCAGATTGAATGAGAAAATAATTAAGGACATTTATAACAAAACCAAGGCTTACCGAGGTTGAGAAATAATGTCGGCGGGATCAAAACTTTTGACAGTAGTAAATGAAGTTCCATAAAGCTGCAGTTGCTGTCAGTTTTAAGGACAATAAAAGTATCTTAATGTGCTTAACTCCGCGATAATAAAATATGATAATATTTGGCAAGGATTCAGTTGCATAAACCAATGTGTATGCGCAATCCTGCGCCACGTGAATCAGTTAAAAATCCAACATTAATAATTATTGACTGACTGATTGGGAAAGATCCTGCGCAGTCTTCCTTTCTAGCCAGTAGATTGGGGTGAGACGAACCCCTGAAGCTGTATCAGGACATCAAAGATTCCTTGCCAGGGCCAAGTAGCGGACGTGCCAGGTTTTCCCGTCCGAGAAACTTAGCTTGGAATAAACTGATTTTCTTCTCAAGGTGGATTCCATAAAGTTCCCTAAAGTTAATTTGCATGGCAACAAATTGCAGCTAGTGGGATTTAGTATAGCAAAAGCTTTTAGCTTAAAGTAAGTTTTTATCTTTCTCCACTTTTTTCCATGGACTGAGTCCTGCTGATCACCGTGAAGCGAATAAAAGTATGGTGGGAGACACGCACATTTGCTGCAGCTGAAGCTGTGAGAGCGGAGTATCTAAAGGCTGGGAAAGCGCGCAGCTTGCGAGGTTTTTGCTTGTCTAGAGTTTAGGGTATATGACATGGAGCAGAAAGATTTGGTTCGTACGCGTCTGGAGCTCGCATTGGCTGCGTTTATCCACCCCCATTCAATTAGTAAAATTATATGGTTTATCGGCATTCCAGGAACTTTTTTTGATCCCTGCTCAAGAACATAGGCTCAAATGACGGGGCAAGGGCTAAAGATCACAACAGAAAAAAAAAGCAAAACACAGAAAACCAAACCAAAAAAAAAAAACACAACAAAGAGGCAGTGCAAAAGTCATCGCCCACCAAAAATCAGTTCGCATAGCCGTTGAAATGGGTAAACCGAATGTGTTAGCGTTATCTGGCACAGTTAGTCCCTGCGCAGCCTCTCGGCCTGCTCCACATCAGGTATGGAGGCATAGGTATAGGTTGTTCGCGTGATGCGTTGCCAAAATAATTTATGAGATTCAAGCACAGCAGAACTCAGCGTAGCGCCCAATTTGCGTGCGATCTTTCATATCTGCGCCAACTGCAACAAACTGATAAAAAATCACAAGTTTTTATACATATATATATTTTTTTTTAGCCATCTTTCTCCCTGGTTCCCAGCACAGTTTGCTTTGCTAGGCACTTGATTGCATATGAACACTGCGAAAAAAATATATTTATTATTATTTATTATTTATGCCCTATTTATGCACTGCAAGGATTTGCCTTAATTGCACTAACATATCCTTTTCAATTGATTCAGTCTATACTTAAGTCTTCGCTTTTGATGTTCGTTTTATTATGTTTATTATTATTGTCTATCATATTATATTATATTATATCTTATTGATTGTTCTTTGTTCCAGAGCTGAACAGTAGAAAAAAAAACAAAAGGCATCTTCCCTATTGCAAGTTTGATCTTCTAGCAAACCTTTTTAGGCACTTTATATTTATATTTTTATACCCTTGCAGTGGGTAGTATAAATTTGTCGTTAAATGTGCAACGCATAGAAGGAGACATCTCCGACCCCATAAATTATATATATGACCCAATCTTTTCATAATGCTTATAGTGCTTTGCCCGTATCTAAGAAGCACAGGAAAAATAGTTAATGCCGAGTTTGGGCAAGATATCTTGATAAACAAAAAAGGTTTTTGATCGAAAACCTAGTTTTCGACCGATCGTTCCTATGGCAGATATGATATAGTAGTCCGATTTAAATAAGATTTTGCAAAAATGAAGGGAGCAAAGTGAAATCTTTAAATGCCGCGTTTAATCAAAATATCTTGAATGACAAACAAGTTTTCCATACAACAAATTAATTTTTCGACCGATCGTTCCTATGGCAGCTATATGATATAGTAGTCCGATCCAGCTGGTTTTCACATATGTGCTGCGTGCAACAGAAAGAGGCACTTCTGCAAAATTTCATTAAGATAGCTTTAAAACTGAGAGACTAGTTCGCATAGAAACAGTAACTATATCGACTCGGCCATTGGTGCTGATCAAGAATATATATACTTTATGGGGTCGAAGATGCTTCCTTCTGCCTGTTACATACATTTGGATTTTGCACAAATACAATATACCCTATAAAAATGCAAAAAGCTTTATTGTGGGCTTTATCTATTGGCTTTTCATGAGCGAAATCGGCTGAGACTAGCGAAAGTTATGGCGCATATAGTCAGACAAACCCCAGAAACAAAACTGCGTAATGTTGTGCATTTTTTTTAAAGACAAACACTTGTTAAAATGTTAACCAATTAATTTTGATGAAAAGTGCCCCAAAATCGATCAGAAGATGTCAGTTTCATCAAAAGTGGTTACAGAAAACATGTCTTATGTTGCACAGTGTGGTCTAATGAATAGTTTGCCATGCTGACCTCTGTTCTTGTTTTGACTGCTCAGTTGGCAAAATGCAAAAGGAAAGGGAATCATAATTTGTGTACGGATGCGCGAATGCACGAATGCGCGAGGCACACAACAGACATTGGGCGCAAAAGACGAGTAGATGTTATTATGAATATGTAATAAGTGCCTGGCTTGCAAGAACGCATCAAAATTGATTTCATTTGCAAAGAGGAAATTAAAAAGTCCACTCAAAATGAAATTGAAACGCAAGATAAATGTAAATTTGCGCAACGCGAACGCGAACTGCGAACCGCGAATTGCGAATTGCGGACGATCGCAAGTGTCGAAACTGCGGCGTGTGTTAGGCTCGTGGCAAAGCACAGCTCGGCTTGTTTGGAACCGCCCCCCCGACCCCCCGCCCCCTCCTCCCATCCACCAACCCGGCTGCCCCAAACCCCATCACCCATCCGCCAAGAGAAGCGTCGAATGCATCTCTGCACTGCAGATCCCAGTTCCTTACTTTTTTTTTCTTGCCTTCGAGTTTGCCGTTTAAGCCGGTCTCCTCTCTGCTGTCTGCCCTCGTCTCCTCGTCTGCTCTCTCCCCTCTGCTCGTCTTCTCTCTCAGCTCTGCCGTCTGCTTGAGCCTACCTGGATGAATTGGTGGCTGGTTGCCTGGCAAATAAATTCGCATTCTGCTATTCGTCATAAACCTGCTAGAACAACTGCCAGAGCCACAGCCACAACACGGTCCATGGGCCGTCCCTCGATTTTCACTTGATCCAGA